GATTTGTTTTCTGGTGTACCAACTGTGACTTTGAGCAGATTTCCTCCTGTAGATAAACAAAAGGTTGATTCATCAATCAAACATTCTGTAGCCATTTTACTTTTTATAGTTCCAGAAGCAACCGACGTAAAGTTTTCACAAAATGAAATTTGCATAAAAAACTAAAAACTTATAAACAAATTATAGTTTTTTTTACCTGTTCAGCTTGAAGAGAACCTAGAAGAAATGACAGTGTAATGATATTTGCTATACACTACCTGCACCTGGTTATTCTCATAACTGTACACTGGTGAGTGTACAGTTATGAGAATAACCAGGTGCAGGTAGTGTATAGCAAAAAGAACATATATTTGACTTAGTTGTCGGTAAATTATTTATCTCATATGGAAGAGTTAGACTGGTTCTGGGGCTATTTCTCAAAAGAGTTTTCCACTCTATCTAAATAAATATACATTTATAAATAAACAAAAGAAATAAAAGAAAAAAAAAAGAAAAAAGAAATAGAAAAAATCATTAAAATTACCTTGGTAACCTTATCTCCCCATTCACCACGAGGTGAGTCTCCCTTTTTGAGTCTGTAAAGATTTCTTCTGCAACCAGGACAATCAACTGATGGATAGCAATCGTTGTTCATCGAATATCCAGGAAAGATAAACATTTGAATTTGTTCTTCTAAGTTTTTATTCATTTTTTTCAATGATTTTGATCTTTCGCCATACTTTTCTCAGCAACAGCATCAAGTAGAATTCATTTTTAAGTGAAAGAAATACAACTCCTAAATAGCACGACCTTCCGCAATTTGAAAATTTTTATACTACCATCTTTTTAATCTCGGAATTTTTTTTGATTACTTAGTACAGGGGGTAATTAGTTTTATAAGCCCATCTAATATGAGGTTACAGTATAATTAATATAATAAAAGCTAATATTTAATTAACTATATATAAAAATTTGTTAAAAATATTTTTTTGACATTTATAATTTTATTTTTAAACTATTATATTAAACAATATATTTTACAAAATCAATTTTGTTACCTCCATTAAAAAAATATCTATCAGTGGTTTCCAAGGATAAAAATAATTTTTTTAACATTTTTTTAAGTCATGATCTGGCGAAAAATTAAGAAATTTTATAACCATTTTATAATATATTTACATCAAGAAAGGTATATATCGATTTCAAAAAATATATTTTCTAAAACAATACTTTCATAAAATAAGGACTTGGTTTGAGTGCTACGACAAAAAACCTGGCGGTCTCTCTGGTGCACAGTGCCTCTTCCTCCTCCTCCTCCTCCTCCTCCTCCTCCTCCTCCTCCTCATCATCATCATCATTATCATTATTTCTGAGTTCAAGTAAACTTTATACAATATATTATTTAAGAATTTTATGTATATTTTTGCAACAATGTAGAACAATCTTCCTATATTTATGAACAATAATGAACTCAATGAGTCATCTGCCCTTTGTCTTCTAGGATTAACGCTTACTTCTGATCTTTCTTGGAAACCATATATTGAATCCATTGCAAAATTATCATCTGCTAAGGTTTCATCTCTTTAAATTCGTGCACACCGCATTCTTACTCCAGATTCTATTCTTTATCTCTATAAACCTCAAATCTGTCCTTCTATGTAATACTGTTGCCATATCTGGAGCAAATCTTTGAATGATGTCTTATCTCTTTTAGACCATGTGCAAAAAGGCTTTTAAATGTAGTTGGTCCCGTTCTTGTAGCCAACATTTAACCATTATCACATGGTTGTAATGTTGCTTCTCTTTCTCTTTTCTTTAAATACTATAATAATACTGCTCTAAAGAGCTAGCGTCTCCTGTGCCATCTACTAAAAATTAAAGGCCCAAAATATATTAGGAAATTCTGTCCTTAGATACATGTTATCCATTGTATTTATATATGTACAGACCTCGGCGGGAATAAATGAGTACAAGAGTGGAGCAAGGCTCGCCATATTCGTTTTCTTCTAAAACGAATATGGCGAGCCATGCAAGCAGCTTTTCTTAATAGCTTTTTACAAGAGCTTTTATTTCGGTTTTATTAAAACTCTAGCTTTTTTTTTTTTATTTGATGTAGGTTGCTAAAGATTTTTAATTTTTTTGAAATAAATTTTTTTTTGTTAATCTTAATATAGAATAGAAAAAAAAAAGATAGGGATTAATGTGATTAATAAAAAACCTTTGTGAAAGCCATTGTATGTAAATATATATATATATATATATATATATATATATATATATATATATATATATATATATATATATATATTTTTTTTTTTATTATACTTCACCTCCTCAAGGCCGAGAAGGCCACTACAGACGAGGAGGCTACTTATTTTGTGGCTATAACCCTCTCTCAACTCTATAACTCCAAAACACGAACCTTGACGAACAAGGCCGCTGCGCAGAGAAACGAGTTGAGCGCGGTACTACCAGGGACGTGGTGGGGATCGAACTCGGAACCACTCGTTTATGAAGCGAG